AAAAAAAAAAGAAAGGATTGGGCCACTAGTGACCCCACCAAGATAAAATGTTGGCATGGAAAGTATCAAAATAGTTACAATAATTTGACTATTAATGTATCATAATTGATCAACTTCTATAATTATTAGGGGTGAGTACGGCCTATAAGGTTTGGAAATTGATAAATCTCCGGAACTGTACCAATATTCGTAGATCTCTAAAATTCGATTTCTAGAATCGTACCAAAGAATTGGTTCGTTCAAAGATTTTTATTTTTTGGTTAGCCTCAGTTCGGTATTCGAGATTATGGGACCAGTTCGGTTCGGTTCGGTTCGAATATTTGAAGATTTTCAGTTATTTTTTAATTTTTTTTAAATGTCCACCTAGTTATATTCTAATTTTTATATGTTATTTTCTTTAGTTCCGACATTCATCAATACTTCATTATACTAAAGATTTTATTTTTAAATCAACTTTATAGGTAACTCTAAATTTTAGTTAAGACTAAATTTGTGCAACTTATATTGAAATTTTAAAATTCAAACAAAATATAACGTAGTTTTTTATTTAAAATAATATTTTTTTAACCTTTCTTACCATGTTAGTTATAAGATAGAATAATACTAAGTATTGACAAAATTTTAATTAAAGTTTAAATATTATTTTAAAAATAAATACTTGTTTAACCTTTCATTCTATTTTAAATATTTTATTTTAAAACAGAAAAAACTCAATTGTAGATCAAGTATTACTAAATATAAAATTTAGTGAAACTTAATTGCTATTACTATATTTTATTTGCATTTTAAATATTCTCAAATTATATAGGATCAAAGTTGACATAAAATATATTAATAACACACATCTATTTTTATAATTCGGTTCTGAATCTTGGTTCCTGGTTTGGTACGGTATGGGACGGTTGGGTTCGGTTCTCACTTCTCGGTACGAATATTTATGAAATCTCCAGAACCATACCAATTATTTTTTCGGTTCAGAGAAAGTCAAACGGTCAACGCTTATTTTTCAATTCGGAATGATTTCTGTTCCGTTTCGCAACTGTTCAAAATTTTTTGAGTCTCATGTTCCGCCTAATAATTATTACACCTCTTTTGATATAGCCAATAAGTGTCTTTTTTGTTTTTACAGCGCCTAATTTTGTCTATCTTCTTTTCAATTTTGCGGTTAATAACTTTTAAATTATTTTAAAATTTAGAATGATGAATACCAACATTTTGCATTTCTAAAAAAATTCCAATTCATTAACATCAAAATATTTTGAAACCTCAAAAAGTTTTTAAAAATTCTAAATGAATATTATACGATTTCTTTCTCCTTTTTCCATCTAATGATTCCGATTTTATTTCAATTGCATAATAAAAAAATAAAAAAATAAAATGCTCCATTTTATTAGACAACGAATGACACATATATCATTTCAAATAAATCACCCCTATATATAATTGCAGAATGCGCTGAGACTAAGTGGCAGCTTCGCATGTTTCGGAATCTTACTTGCCACATGCTTCGTAGTTAGGTTTGGATAAAAAATAATATTATTCTAAATCAATAATTTTAGGTTCGAATATTCTAAAAATATTAAAAACTAACTTAGTAATTCCATAATAATTTTACTAATATAACCCTTAAGTTTATTATAACATTTGGTAATGGTATTGATTCACTAACTAAAAATATGTTTTTTTCTTTTTTTTTTAAATTAACTTTTCAGTGTTTCCACAAGTAGTTATACATAGGGATCTTACATTTAATTAGTGCAGATGAGAGCCAAATCACAAACGGGTATCTTGAAACCGAGGTTGAGTGGGTCCCCGGGATGGAAAACATTAGGCTTCGGGACTTCCCCAGCTTCATTCGGACCACGGACCCGGACGACATCATGGTCAACTACAACATCCTCCAGACCAAAAACGCTTCGCGGGCCCGGGCCGTCATCCTCAACACTTTCGACGACCTCGAGCGGCCCGTTCTGGCCGCCCTCCGCCGCATATTCGACAGCGTTCTCACCGTGGGCCCGCTCCAGCTCCTCGAGCACCGGCTCGTCCAGAGCCCCGATACCCGGTCCATCGGGTCGAGCCTATGGAAGGAGGACGACGCGTGCGTGCCGTGGCTCGACCGACGGGCCCCGGACTCGGTCCTCTACGTCAACTTCGGGAGCATCACCGTGTTGTCGCCCGAGCAGTTGCTCGAGTTCGCGTGGGGCCTCGCGAATAGCGGCCACCACTTTCTGTGGATAATCCGGCCCGATCTGGTGACCGGGGATAAGGCGGTCCTGCCCGAGGAGTACTCGAAGGAGGTCTCGGGGCGGGCTATGATGGTGGGCTGGTGCTCGCAGGAGCGGGTCCTGGCCCACCCGGCGGTTGGGGGGTTTCTGACGCACTCGGGCTGGAACTCGACCGTCGAGGGGGTGTCAGAGGGCGTGCCGATGATTAGTTGGCCGTTTTTCGCGGAGCAACAGACGAATTGCCGGTACGTGTGTCGCGATTGGGGGATGGGTGTGGAGATTGAAGGGGAGGTGAGGAGAGATAAAGTGGCCGAGCTTGTGAAGGTGTTGATGGAAGGGGAGAAAGGGAAGGAGATGCGGAAGAGGGCCGCCGGGTGGAAGGAGAAGGCCCGTTTGGCCGTAGGGCCCGACGGGTCGTCGTACAAGAATTTGGAGAGGTTAATAGATGAGTTTCTTCTGGAGAATTAGGGTTTGTCGTGCATGGGGTGTGATCGTGTTGTGTTGTGTGGTGAAGATGAATAAGAAAATGAATTGTAAAGAAATTTGTAATTGTGTTGTATTGCTTGCTTCCCGCGTGAACGTTTCTTGCATAAGTGAAGGTGGTACACACTTGTGTACATGCATGGCTCAATTTGTAGCTAGACATTAGTTGTGTGATGGCAAAATAAGTTGGCAATACAACACATGTAATCAAGAAGTAAACTAACAAGATAATTTGACAAAAGATACGCTACAAACAATTGCCATATTCCAAAAAAAAAAAAAATAATAATAAAATAAAAATCATATGTTACTAGTAAATTGAAAAATTAACTATAAAAATAAATAAACAAAGTCAATTTCAATGTCGATAATGATCAAGTAATTTATTGCCCACTAACATATAGTTTAGACAGGGGCGGACGCAGAATGTTAAAAGTACGGGGGCACAATATAATTTATAAAATAACAAAAAAAAAAAGGACAAACGTTACATTACAATTGTTCTCTATGTGTTTTCTAAAAAAATACGCTACAAATAAGAAACATTTACGACTATTTATTAAAATCATGAAAGCCCTAAATTAAAAATTACATCAATTTTAAAAATTCTCAAATACAAATGTTGGGTTATAAAAATTAGAAAACAATTAAATAAAGCATACTTTTTGGAATAAAAATTGATAGCCACTAAGGAAGTAGAAGTTTTGATGGAGACGAGGCTGCCTTGGCATATTTGGATAAATTTGATCGACTTCGGATTTAGTTCTTTATTTATTTTATTTCCCTTTCCTTTTATTTATGCATTTTCCTTATT